TTTTCACGCCAAATGCCAACCTTGGATTATACTACAAATGCTTAGTGGGAATGTCGTGAGACGCAGCAGTAGACGCGGAAAGCCTCTTGGGTTTGTTCATTCCATTTTCTCAGGATGTATCGCAATGTACGGAGCATTTTCGATACTTGGCGTTTATTTTGCATTTCTGAAATACAATTAAGTCTTATATTACTGGCCTAGCAGGCGACCAATAAGACTGTCTACTAGGTCACTCGTGAGTGATTTTTCTCAATGGCGCCATTGCCTGAGTTCTTCCAATATGTGTCGGTCAATCATAAAAATAGGCCCTTAAATACTCTATTTTGCATTTCCAATGAATCATGCAAACTCCTACTGGCGTGCAATTAGATGATGGTTGAAACATACACAAAAATTACCGGTCAGATTGGTGAAAATATTAAGTCAGTGTTTCGCAGTATGTCAGTTCCAAAAATGTTTAAATGTCATACTAGAGAGATAACGGAAAATGTTCATGTATCAATTTAAGTAGATAAGATGGGATGCTCTAATCAAGATTCAAATGATGGGAACTCACTTGCTCCCACCAAGATTTGCACAAACGTATCGTATTCATAATGCCTGATAATCATTCAAGGTGCCCCCACAAGTTTGGTTCCGGGTGCCATATGTTCAGAAAAAAATACGCATTTATTTTTACAACAAGTAATACAAAGTTAGGCGCTTAGTGTTGAAGTCACGCTATACAGAGCATATAAGATCACCGGGCAGTTTCAGCGACCACCGACCACCATTCGTTTAAGCGTTTATAAATGATGCACATGTGGTATGAGCCACGCTAGAGACAAATTATGGTTGCAGATAATGAAAAGTTATGTTTTTCATCGGTTTCTTAGGTGGAAATAAATTCAAGGTCCACGTCATTCTTGGCTTTGTTCCGTTTGCCTCCACAATGTATCCTCGTTAACTTACACCAAATAGACTTGAGGTATATTCTTAGACACAAATTGATTGAAACCTTCCCAGGCCATTTCCGAGGACCTGTTGGTTGACTGAATTGAATTATAATAAGTTTGCCGATT